ATTTTTCAAATAGTGCCTTAAAACGCCTTTTTTGGCATGTTTTTTCAACATTTTGACTGCGGCGCAGAATTTTTGGCAAAAGAAATATCTTTTTAGTGCTTTGGGAGAGCTCGGAAAATCATTATGGTCGACCTAAAAAAAGGTCGACAAAATTTTTGAAAATTCGCCCCCCTCGAGAAAATTCTAGATCCGCCCCTGCACTAACTTCTTGGTTTTTCATTAGCCCCGACCTTACCCATTGCAGGGAGGGAGTTGTTTTTTTTACGGTGGAGGGCACAAACTACCAAAAAAACGCATCCAATTTGAAAAACCTGGTAATTTGTGCGTTTTTCGGTAATTCATGCCCTCATCGGAAAATTACCAGGGTGTCATCCATTTTGCCGTAGCCGGTTTCTTCTTGAGGATAAGGATGATCTTCGGAACCCTCTGACCGGGAAAGGATGACATTGGGACCGGGTTGGGATTGGACTTACCTCTTCGTCGTCTTTGAGCGCCTCTGATGACTAAACAGGTACCACCAATGCAAATACAATTACTCAGCAGTGCAATGTTCAAACAATTCGTTGATCGGCAAATTTGACAAGAAATCCAGAAGCGTTGAAGATGCATACGATTTGAACAAAACGTAAATTTAAAAAACCTTTAAAAATTAAGTCACAAAGATGAACATAAATTTATTATCATTGGCATATTGGCATATATTCATTTGTACATTAAATGGTGACAAAATGTACAGTGACTCAAAACTGCAGCGACCAAATAAATTGGCGTGCGAAATAGTACTTCCATCTGGAAAAATGCCATTTTTGTATCTTTTAAATGTACAAAGCACTCGATTCCGATCTTAATGAATATTTTTCATATTTCAAATAAATGCTTTTTCAATTGTTTTAAGCCTAAGCTAATTTTCACAAACTGTTGATGCGTTTTGATTGATTACTAGTCAGATTTGCGTGATACTGGCTAACCTCTAGTTTTCACACAGTGGCATACCGAAGGAGAAAGGGGGGGTGTTAGTTGTTTCTGGTCACCAATTTTTCCAAAAACTCATCCTCTGGTATTTTTTAAAATATTGTTTGAGCAACTCTAAAAAATTTAAAGGGGTAATTGGCGGCAATATACACTCCGTTTCAGGGAGTGCCCTCTTTGCAAAAATGTTCGTGCTGCTATTTCTTTGTAAAAACGTTTGTAAAAGCGCCCCACTACGTCATTTTTCGCGTTTTTCAAAAAAAATGGCCTTATATTTCGGTACAGATTTTTTTTGACAGAGCAGGGCCTATATTAAGTTTAAAGGTACCATGGTAAATTAATTTGGTCTACCGGTAAAAAAGGCCGACAACTTTTTTTTCGAAAAGCCATTTCTTTCCCATCGAGAAATTCCTGCGCATGACACCAATTATAAATTTTGTGAAAAGTTACAAAAAAGTAGATCTTCATGTAAAGAAAATCAAACTCCTTTCTCTCAATATCGAGAAACTTTTCAAAATTTTAAAACTTCGATCGAATTTTAAGAGCATCCATCATATTACTTTTTCACTTTTCAACTTCCGCCAAAATTGTCTGACTTTCAAATCGGCTGAATTGTCTTTGGCCGAATTGTCTGGACGCGGAGCGAACAATGAACTCTTACACTTGCGGCAGCAAGTGTTTTATAATGGTCCACTAAAACTTTTTCTTGGTTAAAAAACCTGATAAAGTTTTGTCCATTTTCTTAGACTCTGCATCTTCACAAGATACAGTACCTACTGTAATAATGTATCAAAAATATATAGTCAATTTTTAATACTACAATATGATACAATTTTTTCGTATTGTGCGTTTCGAGTGTTATATCGGCTGAGTCAACTTATCCTGCGCAATTTCAAAGGTGTGAAACTTTTTGAACTCAGTTTCGATTTGTGTAATGCTTTTTTGTTTTAGGAGGGTTGGGTCCCAAAAACGTTTATAGCTTGAATATTATTATGTCTACAAATTTGTTTGCGGCTTCACGAAGGTTAAACCAATTTTTGTTTTTGCTTCAGTCGCCGCTTTGTCAATTTTCAATGCTTGTGATGGCTGTTTTTGAAATTGTCTGAAACAAAAAGAATTGTAGATAGAAGTTTTTTAACTCCAAAGTTAATTTTCAGCTAGAATTTTTGAATAAAGTTTTTTTTTCTATCGAATATCTTGCCATGCAATGTTTCAATTGTATCACAAGTTCACTAATTCATTGTGCAGTTTTATGGGCGAATTGTTTTTTTTGTTTTTGCCTGTTTCACGAGGGATTGGGTCATAACAAATTCACTTTGAAAAATTTCATAGCTAGATTTTTTGAGTCGTTTCAATTCCGGCGTAACGAGGGTCGGCCCAAGTTTTTTGTCTTAGTTGTCGCTCCGTGATTGATTCTCAATCCTTGTTAAGGCTCTTTATGATGCTGCGCGATGCCTCCCTGTTTCAAAATGTTTTTTGAACAAAATTATATTTTATTTTATCTTTGCAACCGCGCTGACCATTTTCACACATCTCTGTATCACACAGGACTATGTTTTTAAGAATCGAATTTGGCTTCCTTTTGGGTTTGGAGTTTCGTTTTTTGTTTTTGACTTCAAATTGATGCTTGTTTTGGTTACCGAAGATTCGTGGGCAGTTTATTCATTATGCAAGGGATGGCAGCATTTTTAAAGCCAGCGCTAAATCGTGATTCGTTTCGTAGGTCACTTTCAGACTCAGTTCATTAATTTTTCTCATGTAACTCAGGGAGAGATGGAAAAAAACAACCCGATAAATGTGCTTCGGGGAATGTTTTTTGGAAGGACTGAAGAGCAGCTTGCTCAAAATCTAACAAAATGTTTTCAGGCCGGCAGTTGGGTGCTAAATCAATCAACGCCTGCAAGAAGCAATTGTAGGTTTTTTCGGTTTTGTTAGGAAGGAAGGCGTAAATGCAAGCTGGCGCAATGCCAGATACACTAACATGAATTGAATATAACTGATAGAACAATTTTGGAGTAGTTTCCAAAATCCCATCGGCTAACCAGAAAGATGACTTCTCCAGAACTCTCAGCATTTCGGGGTCGCCGCACAAAATGATTCGCTCATGATTATTTGATCCACTGTCATACCGGATAAAATTTTCAAACATTTCAGGAATCTCGAAATTTCGCGCAACGGGGATGGGCGGCATATTTACATCTAGCTGCTTACGAGTGCGCGCAGCCGTTTGGATCAGTTTTTCTTTACTTGGGAGGGCAAACTGAGTGGCCAAATCGTTTGTAACCAGCAAAACCGCACTGGCAACTGCAACAGTCGGGGTAAATCTCTCGCTGAGGTCTTTTATATGCTTTATGACATTTCGGGCCTCCAATTTTCCCGCTGAAATGTCGTGGTTATGCTCTCCACGCGTCTCGATTAATTCGTTATTTTCAGTAATGGCAGTTGCTCGACATTTATATGTTTGATATTTTAAGCAAATTCAGTTTTCTGTAAACTTATTTTTTCGATTGAAATAAAACTCATGGCAGGACGCTATAAGAATTGGCTTGTTTTTAGATGAAACTGTGAACTCGAAAGAAGACTCAATCATAATGTGTTATTGTGTTTGCGTGTGTTTATCACTTGAGTAAAGTATAAAGTGACTGTCAGAATTTAACTTTTGTCGGAATTTTTACGTCTAATTGTTATGAATTAGCACAAGCAGCTTTTGTTAGTAATAATAATGCTTTAGCGAAAAGTCTAACTGAAAATAAATTACAAACTTGTAGATAGGAGTCTTAAGTAAATAAGGAGGCCTCCTTTTAGCATGTATAACTAAGATAAACATAGTTTTTCATTATGGTGCGTGTGTTAATAGCAGGATCAACTTTGGTGTGATAAGAGTTAAGATAAGGAATTCATACAGCATTAATTTTAAAAGTGAAATGACTAGGTGTTAAAATGTACTGTGTTAAACTGGAAAATAGGAGTTAGATTGTTGTCGATTTAAATCGTTTAGTAGTGAGATGACTAAGTGTTAAAATGTACGGTGTTAAATTGTATGTCATTAAATTGTAGGACACCTAAATATTGACCATTCAGGCAAAAAAAATTGTTTTAAAAAAAAAACAGTTTTGGAAGTTTCATTAAGCGCTTTCTCGTTCATAAAAATGATATAGTTTTTTTTTCATTTAAAAATTTTTTTTTTTCGGTTATTTGATTTTTGAAGACAATTGTAGTATTTAATGGCTAACTCACTAAATTTCTACGCCTTCTATAGCTCTAAAATTATAATACGCAGAAAAAACGACGCTGATTTGGAGATTTCAAAAGTTTTTTTATTTGTTTTTGAATGTGGTCGGGTATCCTCGTTGTTAGTCGATTTTGAACAGCTTACGCCTTCCCCTCAAGGATTCGACCCCCTGCCGACCCAAAGTGTCCCCCCCCTTTTGTACTATTTTGAGATATGCATTTTTGGTGACGGACCCTAAAAGTTTTCTATAGACGCCTTTGGCGCCAATATATACCAATTTTAAGGGTGGAGCGCGCGCCGAAAAAACGCAATTTTTTTGGTCAAAATTTTTCAAATAGTGCCTTAAAATGCTTTTTTTGGCATGTTTTTTCAACATTTTGACTGCGGCGCAGAATTTTTGGCAAAAGAAAAATCTTTTTAGTGCTTTGGGAGAGCTCGGAAAATCAATATGGTCGACCTAAAAAAAGGTCGACAAAATTTTTGAAAATTCGCCCCCCTCGAGAAAATTCTAGATCCGCCCCTGCACTAACTTCTTGGTTTTTCATTAGCCCCGACCTTACCCATTGCAGGGAGGGAGTTGTTTTTTTTTACGGTGGAGGGCACAAACTACCAAAAAAACGCATCCAATTTGAAAAACCTGGTAATTTGTGCGTTTTTCGGTAATTCATGCCCTTATCGGAAAATTACCAGGGTGTCATCCATTTTGCCGTAGCCGGTTTCTTCTTGAGGATAAGGATGACCTTCGGAACCCTCTGACCGGGAAAGGATGACATTGGGACCGGGTTGGGATTGGACTTACCTCTTCGTCGTCTTTGAGCGCCTCTGAGCCCACACTGACGCTGGGTGACCTGAACTTGGCGGTTTTCTCTAACTCACTGGTACTGGGAGATAGAGGACTGCTCATAAGAGGGTGGATGGGGTCCGAATAGATCCGATCTCTGCCCTGCTGTTTGCCCTGCAGTTTGTGCTTCAGCAGCTGTTTCACATCCAGAGGTCCTTTTGCAGTAAGAACAAGGTGGCCATTTTTACAAAAAAAAATACATAATATTTCAAATTAGCTCATAAAATGGTCTAACATACTACCAGTTTGAAAATCCACGAGGTAAATTTGAGATTTGTTAAAAGCGTGTATGTATCGCGTAGGATCATGATTGATGCAAGTATTATTGGAATGATATACCAGAAAACGTATTTTCGTCGACAAAGTTCAAGTCGAGATCACCACACATGGCTTTGGCCAAGAGAAATGAGATCAAGTCCCAAAAAGCTCAGAAGTATTGAATTACAATGACTATTGTTGTAGAGAATAGGAGGCCGACTTACCTTGCAACGACTGACGAGTCAACTGAGGTTGGTTCGGATATGAAGATGACGTCATTAGTGGGGAGTTTGTGCTCTGTTCCTCGGAGGGGAACGAAGACAACGCACCAGAGACAGAGGGGGGGGGCGAGTTGTGAGAGGAGTTGGCGCCACTCCACCCGGCAGGGGGTCCCAACTCGCCGGAGTGGAAGACGGAGCTGGAGGAGGAGTAAACGGACTGTGGTCGTGAAGAGTTGAGGTGGATGTTTAGAAACTGTCCGGATAATTCTGGCAACATACCTAAAAATATGTACTTCCCCAGTTTTTGACCACATTTCAGTTTGTCTGCAGCAGGGCAACCCAAAATATAGGCGTAACGGATTCTGCAGCGAGAAACTTGAGGCATGGCATAAAATCCGCGAATATCTGCAAAATTTTTGCATTGACGGGCATACTAGTAAATAAAAATTAGAACTCAATTGATCAATTATAAATACAGGGCATATGAAAACTGAAAGGCAGTTTATGATTTATTAATGGTGCTAAAATATTGAACTTCAGAATTTGTTTATAAATACCTGAGCTTTCAGACGAATGTTCCACCAACATATTTTCCATCTGGCTGAGTCTTTGAGAATCAGTGGAGCCCGAAATCTCTTCCAAGTCCTCGAAAAGACTCTTTTTCCGCTCCCTCGAGGAACAGCCATCGTCGGCAATGTGTCCTAGCTGTTGTTGCAAATCACTCGCTGTCCACGTCGAATCGAAGTTCTCTTGTCCATACTCCTAAAGACAAATGGAACCTGATCTAAACTACATTTTATAATTGGATATTTTATCACTGTAAAATATTTAATATTAACCAATCATAATCCATCTAACTAACAACCCACTTATTTGTAAGTGCTGAAATTACTTGTAATTTCAGCACCAGAGAGATTTGAATTTAACTTAGAAATTAGTTGCCTCTCCAAGAGAACTTCAGCAGTTGCAATAAGCCAGTATACTCTAGATCTATTGAGCCTAGCAGAGACTAGTTAAACACCCTGAGACTAGTAGATATAAGAGTAAGATTAGGATCGGTATTAGACTAAGAAGTTGCACGAATCTATCCGGCCGAAAATAAGATAGCGTGACGAGCAGACGGTGTACCCTATCCGAAATTACTCTATGAGTTAAGCACATCGGTTCTAACTCATCTGGTGCGACCATAAGTCTCGAATAAGACCTGAATAGCTTAGAATTCACCAAATATAGATTAGAATTTAGACAAAACATTTTTAAAATGTTACACGATAATAATTTAATTGAAATGTCTCTACGACTCAATAGATCAGAGCCGATATTCCGAACAATACTAGAACTACCCGGTATTGGAAGAAAACCTCGGACAAGAGACGATATACGACTATGTAGAAACCTACAATTTAATTTTAAGGTTGTACGGCAAAAGCCAACACAAACTTTTATATTTAGAATCTTATTAGCAATGAATTTAGATTTTCATTTGCAAACATAAAATTTTGAAGTAAATCTTCATGATCATTTCAGGCGCTAAACAAAATTATTAATGTACAATAACGATTGATAAAAAGATCTCAGATTGTTTTCCTAATTTCTGCAGTATTATTTAAAACATATTTGAAAAATATTTATTGAAAATAAAAATAAAAATTAGTAGCATGACAATAAATAGTTAGTAATCATAAATCATCCTGTTGTTCCAGCTCCATCACCTAAACATAACATCAAACACAAGCTCACTAATATCATTCAAAAACTAAATCTTTTGATTAAATAAATTTAAACCATTTTAAACCTAAAAATTTACTTAATTTTAAAAATCAGATCATCAAGGCTTATCCTTGGATCTTTATAAATTTTCTATTTCACTAAATTAAAAACCTGATCATCAAGGCCTATACTTGGATCAAAAAGAATAATTTTGTTCTCCCCCACCCACTTAGCAAGTGTCTAACGACCTCAAACGTCGATTCACTATCCAACCTTTTCAAAAGACCCAGGACTAATAGAAATTTTTCAATAAAACTAACCATTCAAATTAAGATAAACAGTGAAGAACTCCGGTTATTCATCCTTCACTTGAACCCTCCCCTTACCAGACCCAGGATAGATCTTAGACTTAGTAAGTTCAAAATAGTATCTAACGAACTGCTTGCGGATTTATACCTGGACCTTGTGGATCGATTTACTATTCTCCAACCCTTGAACACAATCACTACCCCTAAGTCAGATAAAGTAAGTTAACACCTTAACTTAGACTAGCCACGAGAAAGTAGAACATCATTCTCCGGAATCGATATACTTTTCTTTCCAACCCTGAACAAAAAGACCCAGGTTAAGCTAACCAAAAAATCGTAAGGACTAACAGTCTAAGGAAATAGAAATAACTAACAACTTCTTGCATCCCTCATCCTAAACCTTATGTCATTCAAAAATTTAGGAAATAAACAAACACTGTTTGACATAATTGTGAAATAGATAACAATAAATACGATCTTGTAATCACACCTCATACACAAACAGTTGGATACATTAGAACAAAACGACAAACAATAAAAAGGAAAATTATAAACAAACAAAGACAAATCACACGAAAAAAATTTTCAAAAATTAGAAACGCATTTTCGGAATCAGAAGTCAACAGTTTAGACGAACTATACAAATTAAAAGAATCAATAGATAAAAATTGTCCCATTCATGATCAATTATATTTTTCCGACTCAGAAACAACTTCAAATTCATCAAAAAGAGGAAAAAGAAGAATAAAAAAGCAATACAAACACAAACCAGTACACTTGTATAATTGGAATCAACCCATAAGACACATCGATAGTTATATATTAACAGTCATCAAACGAAAAAATGAGCCACACCCAAAGTGACGAAAGTCCAGATGACGAAGCAGTTTTTCCCTTTCTTATAGATTCACTCGATGATAGAGGACAACACGATTTTTGCAAGAACTTACTCGTAAATTTGTTTGAACCAGGGATCAGCCCATGCAAAGCAGAATTCCCAGATGTAAAAATCAAAAGACAAATTATTGAACATTATTTGAAATACATGCAATCTAACACAACAATATGGAATCTACACCATAGAATTCAGCACACCAAATACAGCCCATCGTAAATATGTAATTCAAACAGACGATATTGACTTAGAATTTTCAAAAGTATTCATAGAATATATCAAAAGCATACAATATCATAATTCACAAAGAGCAAACTCCATATTCACTAACGAAGTTTTTGCAGTAATATATAGTTATATTTATATATTAGAAAAAACAGAAGTTCAAAGTATATCACCAACCGAAACATCCAAACATACAAAAGTACGAAATGAAATCACAGTATTTTTTAACATTTCTACATAAAATTCGCAAAAATTTCACTAAAGAAGATGTTTCACAAAACACTAAACATGATTTACAAAAGATTTTAGCATGGTTTATAATAGATTATTTCACCCACAATTTAGATTTAATTTCACAAGCAAGAAAGAATTTCAGACCTCAAAATACCAATGACGACACTGTTCTTTCAGAACAATCAGATTACGTTTGGGACCCTGATTGGTCTCATCCAGTATTTCTAAATATCCCACAAGCTATCTCAAGTCAAGCAATAAGTACAATATCTTTTCACACAGATTATGTAAAAGTAGTACCATTAACCATTGATGCAACACCATTGAATTATAAAACATTTTACTTGATACACGAAAAAACAGTTTAAATTCGACGGTCATACATAATGAAAACCTCAATGGAACAAGAAATCTTACACAACAAGATATTCACACACCATCACACTTCAAAAATGAAGAAATCGTCCAAACAACAGCAACAACTACACAACAGAGTATTTCACCAATACATCCCAATCTGACAACACCAAGAAATACAAATACATCACTAACACAGGTAACCTTACAATCAACCGTAAAACCTTCGGTTGCTCCAAAATATTCACATATGGACTATCAAACGTATAGACCAATGACAATACCGTCAAAAACACGAAAACCGTTCGCAAGAAACACTTTTGCAGAACACAATTATAATTATGCTCACAAACCAAGAACAAACCAACCTCCCCGAAAAAATACACAAAACTTAAACCATGTATGTTCCCATTATTGGAATCTCCCAAAAACATCGACCAATTCAGTAAATTTTCCAGATAATCCACAACCTACACAGGATTATAGTGAAAATTACCCATTCTTCCAACAAAATAAAAACAAACAACATACACCATATAATACAAACTATTTATCATCTGATCAAGATGATTATCACCAACCAGATATTTTTGCAGCATATACTAAAGAATATCGCACACAGAGACCGCGACAATCTCAACCATCTCAAAATATGAAAATTTACCCACAAAACCCAACAGATGTACAAAATCCACAACAAATGCATATACAAAACACATTTAACACACAATCTTTTCAACCAATACAACCACAAAATCCAATGTTAATGCATTCTTATCAACCAACACAAATGCAAAATGAAATACCGCTTCCCTATTACCAACACGAAATCACAAAAAATCAACTTTCAAATTTTTCACAAATGCCAAATGCCGCAGAATCACTACAGATGACTATGAATCCATACCTCATGGGTGGATCATCAATAACATCGAATAAACCATTAATGGTATTCACAGGAACAGACCCTGAATATTCTGTAGAAGATTATCTAAATGCAGTAACAGCAAATTTAATTTTAAATATAGGACCCGAACCAATTAATACGCATCAATCTATAATTGGATACATAGACGCACAGCATTAATACAAACAACCCTAGATGGCGCAGCCCAAAAATGGTTTTCAGTATTACCCATAGAAATAAAATCAGACTGGAAAAGATTCGCACAAGAATTTTCAAAAATGTTTGATTCTGATGCAACGAAATCCGCAGATTACCAAATGAAACAATTAAGCAATTAGCAGTACGAATAGAAACACTAGTTCGAAAAGCATATTCACTTAATACACATGATTACAAAATTACAAAAATGACAGAAATTTTAATGATGACCTTAACACCTCAATGAAGGAAAATAGCTATAAAAAAGAGAGCATCTCATCCTTCCTCAATTCGAGAACCGGATTTAGATTTTCGAAAATTAGTAGATAAACTAGAACAAGCAGAAATCACAATGAAACTCGAAGAAACAGAAAATCTAAAACTACAATATGTTAATCGAATTGAAACAAATACTACACATATAAATAACATACAAGAATCAGACACAGACCTGATTGAAAAAATCACTGAAATACTAAATATCTACGAAAAACACCCAAACTTTAAAGGCAAACCATCCTTCAAAAAACGGTGTAATTATTGCCGATGATACGGACACAGTATTTCCGAATGTAGACAAAAACAACAAGACAATCAGAATAAACCTCAAAAACACAAAGAACCAAATAAATCGTTCTATCAATTTATGAAAAAGACCAAAATCTACCAAACAAAAATATATATAGTAATAACAGCTCAGGAAAACCACTTCCGAGCAACTTAAATTACACAAGGAATCAATCGTCATATAACTCAAGTTATAGAAGTAGATCACCCGAACGAGGAAATACTTGAAATTTCTCACAAAATAGATATAATCGATCGAATAGCCAAAATAACCAAAATAACTATTCACGATCAAATTCCAATAAAACAGAATTTGTTTCTGGATCCAGTTCCCAGTCAAACCCAAGGAATAGACACTATT